TACTGATTACCGTGTACCATTATTGTGTAATGCGTTTTCCACAAATAATGAATGTTTATCTCGTCCAATGGCTGCTCTTGTAGATGCTGTATTAGGGAGTAGTAGTAATCGAGGTATATCTGGTGTAACATCTAACACACAACAGTCGACTCAGTCACCAGTAATAACACCTGCGGTAGGCGGAACATCTCCAGTAGCTTCGGTGCCAGGTTCTGGAGGCACTACTAGTCCAATTAGTGGAAATGCTTCTTCTTCTAATGCTATGGGTCCAACTACACCACTCAGTATGGCTGTTTTAGATTCATTGACAATTCATGCAAAAATGAGTTTAATTCATAGTATAGTGACTCATGTACTGAAGTTGGCTCAATCTAAATCAAATTTAGCACTGGCACCTGCGCTCGCAGAAACATATAGTAGACTTTTAGTTTACACTGAAATAGAATCGTTGGGTATCAAAGGATTTATAAGTTAGTAAATATATGTTTAATATAAATTAAAATAAACTAAGTAATCTATTTATTATCAAATTATTATATTGTGATGGTTTTTTACAAAATATATGTTTCCCAACTCTAACTGTATAATATTGGGTTAAAAATTTTTAAATTTTTTTTATTAAATATTTATTATAGGTCAAGTATTACCTACGGTTTTTAAATCACATGCATGGGGAATTCTGTACACTCTGTTAGAGATGTTCAGTTACAGGATGCATCACATTCAGCCTCATTATAGAGTTCAGCTCCTTTCTCATTTGCACAGTTTGGCTGCAGTACCTCAGACTAATCAAACTCAACTCCATTTATGGTAAATATTCACTTGTTATTAAGTATTTATTAAATTCATAACTAATATATATGTATAGTTAATATTTTATACATAATAATTGTGTAATTATGTTTAGCGTGGAAAGTACTGCATTAAGACTGATAACTGGCCTCGGGAGCAATGAAGTTCAACCACAATTATCCCGGTTTTTAAGTGAACCTAAAACTTTAGTGTCAGCAGAATGTGAAGAACTCAATCGTGCACTTGTCTTAACATTAGCTAGATCTATGCATATTACAGGAACATCGGCAAGCCAAGAAGGGTCTTGGTGTAAAGAGTTACTGACTACAATCATGGCCAATACACCACATACCTGGGCTCCACATACATTACAATGTTTTCCTCCTGCACTTGCAGATTTCTTTGTCCACAATCCCATTACTAAAGAAAACAAACAGCAACTTAAAGTATGCTAATTAAAAATATTGTCAATTGTTTAAGTATTCAAATAAATATTTATTTTTAGAAAGCAGTAGAAGAAGAGTATCGGAATTGGGCATCAATGACAAATGAAAATGACATCATTGCCCATTTTTCTGTACCTACTGCTCATCCATTGTTCTTGTGTCTTCTATGGAAAATGATAATAGAGACTGACAGAATCAATCCAATTGCTTATAAGTAAGTATGATGAAATAAAAATTTTCATTTTATAATTTTGAAATTTAAATTAAAAATCTACCACTTTTTTGTTTATTGTGTGCATTGCCAACAACACAGTCACATGTTATATATTATCCATTACTTGTGATGAGTTGGACTTACTCATTATTTTCATTATTTCTTCCTTACAAATCGCAAATTATCTTTACTTATTACTTTATTAGTTACGTATTGTTGCTCAGTAATTAAGTATCCTCTTACTCTCCACTGTAAAAAGTGTATTATAAATTATGTTTTAGAATATTGGAGCGAATTGGTGCACGAGCTTTATCTGCTCACCTTCGCAAGTTTTGTGATTATTTGGTATTCAAATTTGCTGTGTCTGAAGAAGGCCAACATGTTAACAAATGTGTTGATGCTATCAATAGCATGATTTGGAAATACAACATTGTTACAATTGATCGTCTTGTTCTTTGTCTTGTAAGTTTTCAACAAAAATATTCAATTCTTTCATGTTTGATTAAAAAACCCTTAATCAATTTCTCAATTACAGGCACTTCGTACCCAAGAGGGCAGTGAAGCTCAAGTGTGTTTTTTTATTATACAGCTACTTTTATTTAAAGGTGCTGAATTTAGGGCTCGAGTGTGTGAATTTGTTAAAGAAAACTCACCTGAACACTGGAAACAGTCTAATTGGTAATGGCATTTCCGTAAAAAAAAGAGGTTGTACTTGTTTTAAATTTAATTTTTAATTATTGTATAGGCATGAAAAACATTTAGCATTTCATAGAAAATATCCTGAAAAATTTGCCCCAGAAGGAATTTTGGATCCTGCATCTTATCAACCCTTGCCTGTGTATTTCGGAAATGTTTGCCTTAGATTTTTACCGGTAATGTTAAAATAAATATGCACTAACAATAGATTATAAGTTAATTTTAATTAATGTTCAATATATTGTTAYTAATATCTAATATTTCTACATTTATTATTTTACATAGGTTTTCGATATAGTTATTCATAGATACCTTGAATTACCACCAGTAACCAAGTCATTAGAAACACTCTTGGATCATTTGGGATGCTTGTATAAGTTCCACGGTACTTAATATATACTTTTAAAGTTGTATTACATATAATAATTATATACAGGATAGAAAATGCGTAGAAAGACCATACAAATCAAAAAAAATTTCAACACCAGTTTTGGTATATTATATTTTTGTACTGAATTTGGTGGTAATAATATTCTTACTTTTTCATGAACATATGTTTAATTTTAGAAAATAAGCTTTTAAATTAAATTTATATGGACCATTGATGCTTATACGGCTATTTTCACTTTTTTTCTATCCTGTTTGTATTTGCACATAAATATTATAAATACATTATTACTAACTATTTATTTAGATCGCCCTGTCACATATTTGTATAACACTTTGCATTATTATGAATCCAAGTTACGTGATCGGCCATCATTAAAACGTAAACTTGTGTATGCGGTACTTGGATCATTATGTGAAACACGTGGCTGCTGGACATTGTCTGAATCATATCAAAGGTACAATATACAGACACCAACATCAACAAATGCTAATTCAATGGGTGCTAGCACCGATGTCACAGTTACTCCTTCAGCTCCTATATGGGTGCCTGACCTAGAGTATTATGTTATGCTGGTTAAACGAATTACAGACAGTATCCTTTGGTTTTGCTTGAATACAATTATAATATTGCCGTCGTAAGTAAAAACGTCATAGAACGATTTTGAAAATAACATGTTTTTGTATAGATTAAATAGTATGATGTATAGCATTTTAGTTATTTGATTATTACTTATATTATACTTTTAGAGTAATATTTCATACATTATTTGTTCATCTACACAAGCTAAAAGCCAAATTTTACAATTATATTTTATTTGTTTTTACCAAATTTTTATGTTTTTTGGGACTTAAGGCGTTTTTGCATACAATAGCAGAACAGGTTTGGTWTATAAGTTGAGCATTTTTAACAATATTTCTATATATTGTGTCAATAATTCCAATTTTATTCTAAACATTGTTTGTTGTAATAATAATTAGTTCTTTAAAATATTGTTTCTTATAAGTCTTTTTAAGTGAACTGAGATACTTATTGTTTGACAATTAACTATCTTTGGTTCAAAATTACCAATTTTCCTTGACTTTTTCTAAAGCCATGAACGGAAATGTGAAGTTTCCAAACATAGACTGGAGATTTAATGAATTCCCCAATCCTGCTGTTTATGCGCTGTACATGACATGTGCAGAACTCATGGCATTACCACTATCTCCAGCTTCAGTGGCTAATTCTTTACTTGATGTTGTGATGCAAAGGTAACTTTCATTATTATAAGTTAAATCTAGTAARATTAATAATAATTGTAACTTTTGTGCATAGATATACTGAAATTCCATCACATGAAATACATTGCTGGATAAATAGTATTGGTCTTATTATGTCTGCCATGCCAGAACCATTCTGGGTRACGTTACAAGACCGAATCATGCAAATGATGCAAAGTCCTGGTTTAGTTACATGGCAGTATGCACACACGCCATTCCAATTATTTAATTTTGATCTTGCTCATGGATGTATGCTTGACAACCGGTTTATTTACATGTTAGCCTTGGCTCACGCCACATGGCATCACGCTGGCGTTGGACAYATTGCTTCTATACCACTGTAAGTCAAAACTATGGACTATGTTATTTTTATTAAAATGTCATTCACTATCTTTAACATTTCTATAGGTTTGTAAAAGAAAAACTTGGTCCTTCAGTATACAGCGAAGAGCAATTTATATTTTTATGTCATTTGGTTGCACCATTCCTATCTCGTTATAATCTTGATAAACCATCGCCATCTATAGTAGACATCACTGTCGAACTATTCAATGCTTTGGAAAGAATGGATAAGCATGTTCAGACTCTACGTTACATGGACCCAATCTGTGATCTATTGTATCCTTTTTTAATTTCTAACTTTAGCTTTTTCAGCTCGAGTAAATACTCTGAAATTTAATTTTTAAATCATAAGTTTCCTTAATTAATTAATTTAGGTATCACATAAAATATCAGTATGTGGGAAATTTAATGAAATCGGAAATGGAAGGGATTGTGTATCGCTTAAGACTGCCCTTACAAAAGAAATTGAGATTCATTACACAATTAAGTTTAGCTGAAGTCGAGGCAATGAATCAACCAAGTGCAGATCCTGTAGTTGTGATCACAAATGGCACAAATGGAACTGCAACACCTCAAAAYGCTAACACTACTTCTGTACCTCAGTAATTAGTTGAAGTAAATAATCAATTACTTTTTACTGTACTATATCATAAATTATTTATACAATACATTGTAGTTATGGGTTTTTAAAGAAAAATATTTTAATTTTATTACAATAGATAAATTATWAAAACATGATCATAAAATATGGTCCTATAATAATTATAGATAAATTCATATTGTAAAAATAATGACTTTTTGTAAATTTTTTTAGAAAAATATAAGAAATAAGTGAAATTATTGTTTACCATGCGATTAAAATATTGTATTTAATACTTTTATTCTAAGTAATACCATTGATTATAATACTATTTATAATCAATGGTAATAYCCAAATGATGTTTTAAGACTGATAAAGAATTTATGAAAAATTATTTGAAAACTTTGTTACTCTATAGTCGAGTTGCATAAAAAAAAGATTAATATTCACTTAGATTTAATGAACCAATCAATGTCCACTTAATGATGCTCAAGGGACCATTACCTCACTATTGATTGATTAAATTTATAGTAATTGTTTATGCAACCCGGCAGTAGACTATAAAAGTATGTATGTTTGATAATATTTTTTAAATTAAATCATAATGTATTACTAATATTCAATGCTTGAAAATGTATTCACCAATTATTTAATAATTTAAAAAATAAGAGGGAAGAGTGAAACAATTTATTTCCCAAAACATGTATATTTATTTATTTATTAAAATTGACTTTTGTAACAAGACCAGCTGCTATAGTAGTACCACCAGACCGTAACATTAYTCTACCCAATTGTCTGATGTCTGAATATATTTCTACACAAATTGGCCTTGATAGATTTATTTTGATTAGAGCATGAGTATTTTTTTTTATCATTCGAGGATTTTTCTTGATGACTTCACCAGTACTTTTATTTAGTTCTGCTAGAAGTCTACTAACAACTGCTGATTCTGATGAACTTTGATAGTGCAATACAATCTGATGCCCACGAACAATGGGGAAGTCCACATTAAATACAACCACTCGTGCTTCTAAAACTGATGTTACTGGTATTGGTAATGAAATGTCACACAAAACGCAACCAGAGTAAATAGTTTGAGCATCATAACCAGTAAGTGAAACACTGATAAAGTCACCAGCTAATCCAATTGGCTGTGGCAATTCATCTATTTCAATACCTGATGAACACAATATTGTTAATATTTTTTTCAWTATAATAAATTAACAAAAATAATCACTCTTAATTTGTGCGACTTCTCCCTGTGGCTGTACCAAAACTTTATCACCAACTCTAAGCTGTCCTGTTTCAATTCGTCCAACAATTGAAAATCCTGATCCTGAACTTTTAAAAACATCACTTATACATAACCTTAATGGTTTAGAAATTGCCCGCTCAGGTGGTTTAAATGAATCTAAAAACAAACATTTATAATATAATTGTTTTGAAGTATCTTTAATTTATTTGATTACTAACCAATAACATCCATTAAACAAGGACCATTATACCAACGGGTTAGCAATGCTTCATTTGCTTTTGTAGCTAAATTTTCACCGCTTAACCCGGAGCATGGTACAAAAGTAACATCAGATTCTTTGTAACCAGCTTGTTTCAAAAACAGTCCAAGTTTTGTTTTGATCTCCTCAAATCGTTCTTCAGACCAGTTAACAGTATCCATTTTATTTACTGCAACTCCGAGTTGAGTAATTCCTGAAAAAAAAAAATGTATATTTTCAAATGCAAAATAATTTTCTTGTTAATTACCCAGAGACCGTATTAAGAGGGCATGCTCTCGTGTCTGCCCTCCACTGTCAAATCCAGTTTCAAATTCTCCTTTAGTTGCATCTACAACTAACATAGTTGCATCAGCCTGAGAAGCTCCTATAAAATCATTGCATAAACAAAACAGTTTTCAAATTTAGTTTTAATGTGTTGATTTATAATCATAAATTCAATTCACATATATGCATTTTAATAATGATTTTTCAAAGATTTAATAGTTTTAAGTATAAATATTTTTAATTGTTCTATTGCCAATTACACTTAAAATGTATAAGATACAAATAAATTACAGACTTGTTTATTTAAAATTTTTTTGTTATTTAAAAGCCAAGTTTGGTACATAAAATAAAGTCACTGTCTATATAGAATGGCTAGTAATTGGTACTAATACCATAACTTAAGACAGTAGTAATTATTCAGAATTCTTTACCACCAATAAAATTAACACAACTTACAATCAAAAATTGATTTCATCCCATAGATTACATAAAGAATATCTGAATATCCATCTATATAGGCTATTCAAGTGATTCAAACTAATACGAGTATATCAATGAGTAGAAAAAATAAAAACATGACATAGAATCTAGTTAGTTTTAACTTATAATTATAACATAACATTACCTGTAATCATATTTGGTATAAAATCTTTATGTCCAGGCGCATCTAGCAGAGTAACATCTTTAGTTTTTGTTTCAAACTTCAAATGACCTACGTCCATTGTAATACCACGGTTTCTATTATTACAAATATAATATAAAAATAAACATCATATAACATATTAGGCATAAAATTAATAATTACCTTTCTTCAGCAGTTTCGTCTAATACCCAAGCATAGAGAAAACTCTGTTTACCTAACTTTCTACTTTCATGCTCATACTTTTGTATGGTTCGCTGTTGTATATGTCCTAATTTATACAGTAAATGCCCCATTAGAGTACTTTTTCCAGCATCGACATGACCAATTATAATTAAATAAAGTTGATCTTTATGAATGGACGTTGATAAATCTTGATTATYTCTAACTTTGTTGCTCCTATTAAAAATAATAGAATATCAATGAAATTAACTTAAATTATTTATCAACTATTTTATACTTGGGCGAATTTAATTTGCGATCTACACGTGGTGATCCTAAACGAACATTTTGAGGAGATCGGTTGCGAGGTGTTGCAGCTGGTGAGCATATGGGTGTGCTAAAAGGTGTTTGTTTAGGTGTTGCGATTAAGTTCTTATTTTTTGACCCTGAAAATAAATCTTGAATGATTATAATAGTTTTTTTGGAATCAGTGAAGTAGCATATTAAGTATTGTTACAAATCTACTATTTTATAATGCAAAAATAAACACGCGAATTGCAATGCTCTACAATATATTATATAATATATATGTATAGTGTACCTGAAATAGATGCATTTCCAAAACCAACAATGATGTTGTCTTTATTTTTTGATGAAGAAGCAATAACAACAGAAGGAGGTCTACTTAACCTCCCATCAGCAGGTTGCTGGTCCTTTACTTTTGTAGAACCTACATAATTTATTATACAATTATAAATATAATAAATTATAATCATTAATTAAATAATATTTAATTTACTAATTTTTGAATTTATTATTTGATCAACAGTTTTATCAATATTAAATTCATTATTAATTAAATGTCCTGCTACAACATCCTTGGCAAGTTCAAAGCCCAAAATTTCTGTTACTCTTTGTAAACATGAATTAACTTTGGCATCAGTTAAATCTTGATCTGAATCAAACTTGGATTTGTGATTAATTAAATAGATTGCTAAAAAAAATATTCAAAATAAATTAAAACTTGAAAATAAAATGTATGAAAGCAGAAAAGATTAATAATATTTACCATCACTTGGAGAAATACAGTCATCTTCAAATGAATTTGAATAATCATCATCATCATCATAATATTCATCTGTAAACAATTATGTAGGTATCTACTAAAATGTTTCTATAAWTAGGTAAATTGAATTAATTTTCATTCTTGAAAATATAAATTATAATTGACAGGTATCTAATAGAAAACAATTAAAATACTTTCAAAACATCCAACTCCCTACTCATCATCACAATTAAATCCTTTCTTCGAATTAGACTTTGACGTACAGTTTCTCTGAGTCCCTGGTCATATGGGGATCTCCGGTAACGAGACTGTAGACTCTTTGGGTAAATCGACAGCCTCYTTATGCTGTYCCCCAACCAGCACAATACCCGGGACTGACTTTTGCCCAATGTTAAAAAATAGCGTTGATAAATTATGGCTCAGATACTGGGAAGGTCTTCCCACTTAATGTGCCACTTGGTACAAGAGACATCGCACCATCCATTTCTCTTTTTCCTTGTTTTGATAAATTTAAAATATCTCGGAAGAATATTTACTCTTTCTCTCGCCTTCACCTTACTACCTTTGCACTCATTTAAGCTCGGCCTAACAGATTCGCCCCTTGACACCCGCCACTTGCAATATCACTCACATCCTTTTAAAACTGTCCATATATCTTCTCCCAAGGCAAAAGCTTTCTCTCCTTAATTAATTCTCTAAATATTCCAGCCAATCCTCAATCTATCCTTTCCTACAATTCCCAATCTGTTATTTTATCAACACTTAATTTATTCAACCAGGCTGCTTTCATAATTTAAATTTAAATTTAAAAAAAATGTTTTTCTAATTTAGTAGATATTATACATTATTACATGTTTATTGTAATTGTCRAACTAATGATTCTCACCAAGTTTCTTAGATAAAAATTTAAAAAAATAGAAAACAAAAAAATATTGTTTGAAAAGAAATTATTTTATATATTCTACTTAAATATATTAAATACAAACTACAAAATACTGAAATAAACATGTTACAAGGACRTATTTTTGGTRGCAACTTTTAAATATTCAATAACATACGACTAGACCTATCAGTGTTGATGTAAGTTACTAAGTTCTCAAGCACATAAATGTATTTATTTATTTGAATTTCATAGTGATACGCCAAATTGTGAAAAGGCTCAAGCCAATGCAGAATTTCTCAAATTCACGAGCAAAACCATTTGTACATCAATTCTATATTTTTAAATCAAAATAATGATGAACGCTGACTAATTGGCCTCAAAGGTTTACCGAAATGTCCTCAAAAAGTATATTGCAAAACCAATTCAAAGATTTGACAATTGACTGCAGACGAGCGCCGAATTCCTGGGTATAATAAATCCGACAGTGGTCACTATCGAAAGAAAGTTTACCATCGGAATATTGCGTGGTCCGTATGTTCCTGTGGCGAGCCATATTTCCGCGAACGATACCACACTCGGCACTTTTATGGCCCTCGACCGCGTCTAGGACAATAGACCTTTACGTACTCGCAACCCGGTTGGTATGTAGTATCCAATAGTAGTAGTCGTCACCAGACAGACGAGAAATCGAAAATAAAAATTTTTCTAATTTCATGCAAGGCAGATACGTCCGATGTAAATATGTATTATGTAATGACTAATGGTATGAGTGTTTGACACTTGAATTCCGCAGTCGGCGCTTCCGTACGGTGTTCACTTTGACACTTTTACACTTTCACAKCAGCACCGTTTCGCTCAAAGGCCGAACTTGATTGTGTTATCAGATAAAAGCGCACCTAACCTAACCGTGACCACGATTAAAGATAATTTGATAATTTGATAAATTGATAATGATAATAATAATAATACAAAGACAAGTGTCTGTGGGCTCCCTGATGGCACATACTTAAAACTTTTGACATAAATACATTATTGTGTAACGTTCTCATAGCTATTATAAGATAAAGATTATTATAATGTATTAATGTGTACAATAACTACAATATTATAATAATGATATAATCGGCCGACCGCCGCGCACTTGTCTACTTCTAGCCTTCTAGGTTTTCACCGTTTCCACTGCTTTTTGGTGCAGAGGTATTTACTACTTATTCACGTCGAACAGACGAACACAACTGTTACTGTTAGACTTGCACAGCTGCACAGTGCGACAGTGCACACGCATATCACAGATTCGTTGTAACTCATCGTCTCATTATACGAACGTGTACGACGATTTTACCTAACCAGTCAGTAACGACTACAGCGAGTGAAGTAGTAGGTACGTCGAAAACAATATAATAACAGTACACATTGACACCGATTATACATACCCCATTAGGTACCAGTTGTGTACCACATTATCTTCTTGTTATTTGAAGATAACGTATTTTTTTTTTAGTTATATAACAGCACATAATATCGTTATCGGACACCACTGCCGCCTTTTTTCAGTGACATCTCAAGTTGTGTGGGTGCGCGCACAAATGTAACATTCCACCAGGACCAAGACTAACAGCATTGGCAGAATGGACGAGTCGGGGGATGGTCTAGACTCAAATGGCAGCAAGACGACTTCGCAGAGCTTCAAAGTAGTACTCTTGGGTGAAGGGTGCGTGGGAAAAACATCACTGGTGCTCCGGTACACCGAAGACAAGTTCAATGACAGACATGTTAGCACGCTACAGGTACAGTTTAACAGTCGTTGAATTTTGGTTAGGTTGATGGGTGCAATTATGTTATAATATAATCATTCTGAGTTCTTGTGTGTAATCACGTTCACTGGTTGGTACAGGCGTCATTTGTCAAGAAAAAGCTCAATCTCAACGGACGAAGAATAAACCTTTCTATATGGGATACAGCCGGACAAGAGAGATTTCATGCCTTAGGGCCGATTTACTACCGAATGTCCAATGGTGCAATATTAGTTTACGACATCACCGACGAAGATTCTTTCCAAAAAGTAATATACTATTAATTCAAGTGCTGTAACATTTAAAATTTATACCTGAATCTTTTTAGTTATTTATAAGTTGTATAATATTTAAATTCACAATTGATCAAAAAATAGTCAGCCAATCGCATAAAGAATAAGAAAATTTCAGAAAAAAAAACTTATAAATATAGACAAAGAAAAGTTGTACTTAATATATTTTGATAAAGTTGATGAATTTTTTTGCTTAATTAACTCATAATTTTAATGGTAATTAGCACAATAAGCTATTATCAAATTATGTCCTTGCAAAATTTGATGTGTCATATCTACTTTAAAAAATTATCTTGTCAAGTGGGAACTTTATATACATCAAATATTAACAATCATCAATGCAAGAAATATAAAACAATTTTTTTGGTAAATCTAACATTGATAGTATTACAAAACCTTTAATATTTATCTAGGTATATTACATCTTGTCACTGTTTTATTTATTTTAAATTATATGCCTATCTTTAGTATCTACATATTTATATAATATTAATTTATTATAGCATACAATTTACAATTTATGATAAATATTGAGGTTTAGGAAGTTTGACATTTTTTAAGATAGTTAAAAATGTATGAGTGTCTACAAATGGTATTTAGTGAACTTGGTGTTAAACCTAGCTATCCGCTTACTATTGAATAATATAGTTGATTATTAAACAGTTTTAGTACTTGTATAAATATAATTTGCCTAACTTCAGTAATTTCATATGTATATATAWAAAAAAAAAATGAACTTATTATTTTGATTTTAAACTATTATAAGATCATAATCAATAMATTTGTTTTTAAATTGATGATCATAAATTATAGATCCTACACTTCATGTTAAGAAAAATTAACTTAATCTTCATAATTTATAATTACATTTTATCAAATAAATTAWTATATCAAATACATAATGCAGTACATGATTAAATAAATAAACAACTATAGGTATCAATATAATAATTTTTTAGGTTACTAACATATTATAATATAATTATTATCTGTTAATGAATTGTTTTATATCCAATTATTGATAACTTAAATTAACTAAATTCCATGTTTTCAGGTGAAAAATTGGATTAAAGAATTAAAAAAGATGTTAGGAAGTGAAATTTGTCTTGTTATTGCTGGTAACAAAATTGATTTAGAAAAAGATCGTACAGTTTCAGTAGAAGACGCAGAAAAGTAAAATAATAAGCGTTTATAAGTTTGACAAATTAATTGATTTTAAATTATGTAATTTTTTAGTTATGCTAGTTCAGTTGGTGCTGTACATTTTCATACATCAGCCAAAATGAATTCAGGCATTGACGAAATATTCTTGAGTTTGTGTCGTATGATGATAGAAAAAGCTGATAAACAAATTGCTGATAATTTAGTCACATTAAATCGGTCAGGAAGTACAAGAAGAAGAACCGTAATAATTGACGATGAAGATGATGTATCATCCAAAGAATCGTCTCGTTGGTGTTGTAGTAGTTAATTCATTGAATTTTGCAATTATAAATATGGTTTAAAGATACCAAGATTTATGTTTATTATATATATGAGGGACGTCAAGAAAATAAGGTTACATATGTTAAAAATTTAAAAATGGATGTATTTAAATTAAATTTTACAAGATAAGTGTCAAAATATGTCTTTTATTTTTCTACATAATCGCCATTAAGATCAATACATTTTTGAAGCCTAAGGACCAGTTTTTGTATACCCTCATCGTATACCTTCCGCTCCACCTCCCAAAGCCAATTTTCAACACTATCCTGGACCTTCTTGTTATTTCAAAATCGTTGTCCACCCAAAAACTCCTTCAATTTATCGAAAAGATGATAATCTGATGGTGCCAGGTCTGGGGAGTAGGGTGAGTGAGTCACAATATCCCACCCAAATGAAACAAGCAGGTCCTGAGTGAGGCGGGTGGTATGAGGTCTAGCGTTGTCATAAAGGAGTGACACACCACGAGGTAGCATTCCTTTTTTTTCAACTTTTTGAGTATCTCACAGTATACAGCGGCATTTATGGTGGTTTCTTTAGGCATAAAATCGACCAATAATAATCCTTTCCGGTCCCAAAAAACAGATGCCATGATCTTTGTCTCTGAAAATTGGACTTTGAATTTTTTGATTGATRGTAAATGGGTATGGCGCCACTGTAGAGATTGTGTTTTTGACTCGGGAGTATAGTGACACACCTTCGTTTCGTCACCAGTCACAATTGAGTCAAGAAAACTTTCACCCCGTTCAAGAAATTCGGGTGCAGCTAAAACATGATTTTGACGATGTTCTGGAGACAACATTTTTGGCACCCACCTTTCTATAACCAAGTTTTTCTGTTATGATTTCACCCAGGAGACTTCATGAGATGTGTGGGAAACTTTCACTAAGGGCGTCAAGAGTTGCATGTTGATCATTGCAAACTTTTTCTTCAACCTGCTGCAGAAGCTTATCTGAAATGASAGATGGTCTTCCACACCTTTATTCGTTGTGATTGTCAGTACGGCCTTCTTTAAATAATCTAACCCACTTGGTAACATGAAGATGTGTYATCACCTCGGATMCATAGATTTCCACAAGCTGGCGATAATGCTGTGACATATTTTCTTTATGGTCTGAGGCGTTTGATGATTTGTTTTGATCATTAGAAAATTCAAAATTCTTTACATGACAGTGGTGATAACTCTGAAAAACATAACTCCTTTTGTCTTACACAGCCCTTGTAACCTTACTCTCTGGACGTCCCTCAGATATTTTTTTTTTTAGAAACCATTATGTTCGTGATATTTTTAACTTTTGAAAAAAATATATTTTTTTATATTAGTTTATTCGCTTGTTAATGACTTATTTATTTTTAGTTGATCTTAAAAATCACTGATTAAAGCTTTAATATTATTAGTTGTAGGCTAATTTCATCATTTTTAAAACACTATTGCTTAGAAATATTTTCTGTATATAATGTAAGATAAGATCCACCCAAAATCATTATTCATAGCTCTRACAATATGGTTTATAGAGAAATTGGATAAAAATCATTAATCAGAATTGATAGAAAATATCTAAAAATCATATTTAACAAATTCATGACTATGTTATGTTGACAAAAGTTAGTGAATGGGTGTCTTTAAAAACTTGACTTGGCATGAGATTACATTAGTGTTTCCTATCAGGTGTTACCTGCTGTTACAGTATTAATTATATGGATATTTTCAACACTTATTATATTCATTAAATTGGTGTGGTTGGCCTTAAATTACTCTAAGTACTAGACACCAATGTTTCTAATTTACATATAATATATTATAATTCATTAAATATATCTATAAACTAATAAAATAAAATTATCAGATTACGGATTTTATTTCTAAGTTCAAAATATAAAGGAATTATCCAATTAAATAGAATGTTCAGTGAAATCTCTAAATACTTGACACTCTTTGGTTCTGAAATATTGTCCGTTATACAAGGTTCTGATTGTAGAAAATTTGTGGTTGGTTCCCAAAAAAATATTCACTATTGAGTGATGTTCATTACAAGGTGGTTCACTGTGTATTGTATAGATATATATTTTTTCTTTTTATTAGATACCTTATAACACTGGTATTTATTGTTTATAGAACATGTATATAAGTGATGGAAAAAATAAACAGGTATAACAGAATAAAAACAAAAATATATATTTAAACATTTTTAAATGCGGTCAATTCTTTTTTTAATTTTCATTGTGTACCAAAATAAACATCCGCATACAACAGAACAACAAAATACAATAATTATATAAAATAGTATACACGAGGAAAAATGGTATGTAGTATATACATTAAAAATATTAATTAATTTGTATTTATATAATTTAAAAAAAAAAAAAATAATAAAATTTATTTAATCTTAAATAATAAAAATTTATGAAATTTGGGTTAGTTGTTTACAAAATCACTATTTTTTTTTATCATTGCATATATTATAAATTTATAACCAATACAAAATATAAATCAGATCTGTTGAGTGGCAAATAAAAAAAAACAAGTATAGTACAAATTACGATAAAATATAAGTACGAATTTATTATAAAAATAGCTTCTAAACAAAATGAATTAATACTGAATGCTAAATATATGTGTGTTTATGATATGAATAAAAGCAGTTATTTTTGTAGGTATTTAATATTTAAATTAATTAGTCTAAGAAAAATTGTATCACTATTTTGAAAGTTTACTTATAACTCGAATCAAAGCACCATTCTCGTCTTTTAACCTCTGATTTTCTTGGCGTAACTGTTCCATTTGCTGTAAAAATTAATAATATTAATTATGAAAAGAAATTATTAACAAAAACTGAATATTTAAAGAAAATCAAATTAAGCTTTCTACAATAAAAA